TGCCGTTCATAAATATTTAACCAGTGCACCTCGAAACACACCGGGGGATTACTGGAGAGTGTGGAAAACAAGTTGGGTGCACAGGAAGCTCAAGGTCATTAAGGACGTGAGAAGCAGCTACAAACCATGCACAGAATCGTCTGTGACAGGATGCAAAGGGACACCCCCAGCGTTGGATTGACCACCAACATGGGAGGCCGTGCAGATGAACTTGGGCTCTCCTTCGAGGACATCCTCCCGGCTCCGCGCGGCCCATGAACAGCGTTCAAGTGCAAGGCCGCCCTTGGAATCTCACAGAGCCCGTGGAAGCAACATGGCCCTGGGGGTGGCTCACCCAAGCCCTTAACTCACAAACGGTAGGCGTGCGGGTCTCAGAAACGTCACCAGCTCTGCATCACGGAGCATGAAGGGCTCAGGAGAGCCCCGATGGAGAGGGCGTGGAGCAAGCGGCCCCAGCCGCACCCTGACACACGCGACTGAAAGCTGTTTCGGTTTACTGAATTTGAGAACCATCTCGGGCTGTGTTTATCCTCAGCACAAATACACCTCCAATTAATTAAACGAGCACTTTCCTCGTTGACACTAACCTCTTCACCGGCCTAGGCTTTTGGCCGCTGCCGGGTGATTCATCCAGCAATCCCAGTGTGGCGGAGCCTCGCAAAACCCTCTCCTCATCCGCGGTTACCTAGCAACCAGCCTAGCAACCCGGGAGCCAAGAGATTCGTCCCTGAGCGATAACCATAAAGTAACATCCAAAAAGACGTCTCGTCTCCAGGATGCCATCCAAAGGTACATAAAGAGGAGGCGCGGAGCAGCCGGCTTCCCTGCTCGCGAACTGCACAAATTAGAGACAAAGGGGAGACACGTTATTTACTTGTTGCTTCAACAGCTGAGAGACGCAGTTCCATTCCCGCAATTCACACACGGGGAGGCGGCAAGCGCGGGGGAGGCGGCTGGGCTGGGAGCCACACAGAAGCCACCCTGTCACTGAGAAAGGATGCGGCAGAGGTTCTGCCCAAACTGAAGAGTTTCCCTTTCCCCACATGCTCCCCAACCCTCGGGCAGCCGGTGCCTCACGGGAGGAGCGTGCCTTACTGTGTGTGCCAGACACATAACTGGGCAATAAAAGGCTGGGAGAACATTCCAGAAGGGTGAACACCCTCGGCATTTCAAAAAGGTGCCGGCCCTCCTGAGCCTGCCCTGCCCGGGGGCTGGAACCCTCCTCCATCCACAAAGGGCCACAGAATCAGTACTCCCTGGAGAGCACATCACAGTGCACATTCCCAAGGTCCGGGGTCCCTCTGCTAGAATCAAGTTTCAGACGATTCTGCCGCAGGTGGCCCCAGACCACGCTTAGAGGAATAGGGCTCCGGGGGCCTCCCCTCACGCACAGACCCCACCAGCAGGTGCGCGGGAAGCTAGGCTCACCCTCCCTCCCTGTTCAGAACGGGGTTGGGGCAAAAGCCTGATGTGCCCCCAGAATGCAAGTGGTTCGGCTGTGTGAGTCTGGCCCACGGGCGTCCCGGTCAAGGTGGTCAGGTGGCACGGTTCAGGTCGCGCTCTGCCCCTGACTGTGACCTTGGGGCTTATCTGCCCGACCGGGTGGGAGCCGGTGACACGTGGAAGGGACTCACATCCACACACGGCCCAGAGACAGGGCTCCGCGGGGAGCTGCCTCACTCAACAAGTGAGGGGCCAGCGGGAAGACCCCTGCAATCTCCAAGTCCCCGTGCACTCTGGGGCCCCTGCCATAGCTAGTCACCCAGCGACTCGTCAAACTGTTCCCAGGGCTGTGTGCAGCCCCGGAGAGGAGGGGCTGTCATCCTGGCTGGCAGAGAGGACCCAGTGGCCCTGGCCAGGACACCTGGTCACAGCTGAAGGAAGCACAGCCCAAGAACGGCCCCTCCGAGAAGGGCCCTGGGCGGGAGGGAGCCTGGACAATGTGACGGGAAAGGAAAAGACCAGAGAAAAATGATGCTTGTGCTGGAGAAGACTCAGGGACATGGCCGCCCTATACCCTGAGGTGGCCGGGAAGGAGCGTGACTCGTGTTCCGCGAGGCTCCAGGCAGATGGAGGGCCTTCAGAGCAACCAAGGCAAAGCACCCTTCGAAGCACAGTTGTCCGCCAGCACCGTGGGCTACCCGGGGCTGAGGGCTCCCCGGGGCGGCCATATCACCTCAGGTGTCCCAGCCAGGGGCAGGCTGCCCAGGGTCAAGCCCCCTGCCTCAGTTTCCCTCAGCTGTAAAACGGAGAGTACTGGGGCACAGCTCACCAGGGTGAGGGGAGGTGAAGTGATCCGCATCCACAAGCCTGAGCCGGAGGCTGGCTCCCTGCTGAGATGCTGCTACCGGCTCCTAACAAGGGCCAGTGGAAACCCCAGGAGGGTGAGGTTAATCCCCGGGGCTGAGCCGGAGCGGGAAGGCAGAGCCCGTGGGGAGGTGTGCACGGCAGGCGGTGTGGTGGAAAGGCACTGGCCTCGGAGGCACAGACTAGTCAGAAGTACCCCAGCCCCCTGGTGACCACATGGGACTCAAAAACCTCATCTGTGAAATGGGCGAGTACCGCCCCTCCAGGGTGGCTGTGAACCCTGAGGCGGCGGCAGGTGCTAAGCATAAGCACATGCCTGGGCTGTTTATGCAGAAAACTGGGGAAACGGGCTCACTGCAGTGCAGCGCTCTACTGAGCACCTACTGTATACATCGCCTTCTCAGGAGGTGGGAGCAGAGAGGAGACCGGATCCTGCCACCACAGCCTGGTCCACAGGGACAGGCTCAGAGCTTCTGGGCCCTCGGGCTCTGGGCAACGGGTGCCAGGAAACCACACATGCTCGCCCGTGGCTGCCGAAAGCCCTCGCGGCCAGTGTGCGTCACCGTTGCCTTAAACAGGGAGCCTGGGGACCTATGTCAGGTGAGCATGTAGGAAAAGCACAAACGAGGGGCACTGGCGCTGTGGGGGACAGAGCCTGGCACCCAGAGGACCACAGCAGAGAAGGGCCAAGGTCAAATCTGGAATGAGACACCCAGACATGCTCAGATATCCAGATGGTCACAGCCATCAGAATGCTGGAAAAGATGACCTTGAAACTGAGGTCACTTCTGCCTCAGCCGGGAGGCGACGGGTCCCCCAGGGCACGCACGCCGCAGGTCACGGAGTGGCCGCAGATGAGGCGCCTGAGAAGCCGGCTGGCCATGGGGAAGAAGATGTTGACCTTGGGTCAACCCAATCAGGCCTTGGCCGTGAACTTAAAGCCACAGGTAAACTGCCAGGCGGGGAGCGACTAGGCAAGCTTCTCAGCCCGCACCCCTGTCCTTAGGGCACCTGCAGAACCACAGACGCGGGCCTCTCTGCACCTCAACGCTGCTACTGGAAAGTGGGCTCTCCTAGAAGCACCCACGCCTCGGGGCAGACACGTAACTCGAGCGCACACCCCACGGACACAGCAGATCGTGACGTGGATGGGTCCGCGGGCCAGACGGGCCCCACACGGTGCTCCTCCAGCCCCGTGAGGCAGGCTAGAGCGATGGGAAGGAGGGATTCAAGGTACCAGGGCACCCTGGCTTCCCCAGTCACCCCACGAAGCGGCCTCACCCCTGTGGGCTTCACTCACATCTGGTGACCAATCCATGGGGTTTCGTGAGATAGAACCGCGCGGTATGCCAGGGGCTTTGGGAGCCGCTGGGCGTGTGCCCCCAGACACGCGCAGACTGCTCACGCAGCCACACGGAGCAAATGGAGAGGCAGCCACGGCCACTCTGCACGGTCTGAGCCACCCCTTGGTGTCCCACCAATTACCCCTTTGAATCTGGATAATGGCCAGTTTACCACTTCTCGTGTTTTCAAAAGAACAGGTCCCCAGAAGATCAGCACCCTAACTTACTCCTCAGCCACCAGCTGTTTCCACCCTCAGAGACCACCCATCGGGTGGGGGATGCCCCACGCCCCGGCTTGGCTGGAACCCCGCCCCTTTTAACAGCTCTTCCTCCCTAGAGAACCGCCCAGAGCCCAGAGCAAGGCCTCCCGCTCCATGAGTGAGCGCTTCCAACAGCCCTGCGCCTCCACAGCCTGCAGGGGGTGGTGAAGGATGGAGGCTGACCCCCGGACCCTGGCCCTGCCACGTACTGCTGTGACTGCCCTGGGCCTCAACTTCCCCACCTGCAGGATGGGTTCCAGTCCTGCCCTCTGGGCGGGGGGAGGGTCACTGAGCTCAGCTGGCACAAGGGGCCCAGAGCCGGGTCTTGCACGTGATAAGTAGGCCGCCTGACCTTTCTGTTAGTCTGCTTCCTCCCTGGAACCCTGGCGATATGGATCCTGAAGGCTGGTACGGGACTTTGCACGTGTGTGTAACTGCTGTCTCAAAGTTTAAGGGTGGGTCTTCCCCGCTGGACTCTTAGCGATAGGGAATGATCTGGTGGCAGCCAGAGGGGCAGTGGTGAGAGGGGACGGGTGGTGAAGTTGGCGAAGGGGGTCAAGGGCGCTTACCGTGAGGAGCACCGAGTAACGGGCAGAGCTGTTCAACCGCTATGCTGTGTACCCGCAAACCCACCACTAACAGAACGTGGGGTTAGTTAGGCTAGAATTTTTTTAAAAAAACTCATACGTTAAAATTGAAAATTTTAGGGGCACCTGGGTGGCTCAGTAGGTTCAGCTCAGGTCATGATCTCACAGTCTGTGAGTTCGAGCCCTGCGTCGGGCTCTGTGCCGATAGCTCGGAGCCTGGAGCTGCTTCGGATTCTGTGTCTTCCTCTCTCTCAGCCCCTCCTGCTCACACTCTATCTCTCTCTCAAAAATAAACAAGCATTAAAAAATTTTTTTGAAAAATTTAAAACCTAAAAAAAACAAACTCCAACAACATTGAGTTACATGTGGTCATTCTAGAAAACCAAGGAAATCAAGAAGAAATTAAGAAGGCACGGGGCTGGTTTTGCACAGCTGGGACCAGCCAGACAAATGTGTCTGTCCTGTCCCCCCGACTCCCGCGCTCGGCCGCCGGGGCCACTCACCTTAAACCTCTCGGTGACGCCCTCGGTGATGCTGACAGTGAACTCGGCTATCTTGGGAGAGCGAGCTTTGCTTTTCTTGCGATCAGGCTCATACTGGGTCTTAGTTTTCACCACGACCTTGTCCGGGAAACAGAGAAGCAAAGCATCAGGGTGCGGGCCGGAGGCATCCAGACACGCCTGCCCACAGCGGGCGGCCGAGTCCCCGTGTCGCCAGCAAGTATTTCACAAAAAGAACGGGAACAGCACCCACTTATTGGAAGTCCCTGTGCCGGGACCTTCGGAGAAATTACCCGTTAATAACCCAGACAGTAGCCCCAGGAGGGAAATCCGATAAGCCGGGGGCAGAGGAAGTAAGCCCATTGGCCGGGGGCCACCCAGGGCAGACTTCTCATGCTGACTCCTGACACAGTGCTCATTCCACGCCCATCGAGAGCCCAGCAGTCAGGAGAGCGCATCTGGCTTCCAACGGTGTTTCCGTGCCACCGTGGGTAAAGCGAGGGAGGAGGGGATGAATCCCTTCCCTCCGGGATGAGGACGGAGCAGGAGCCAGCCGCCAGCCTGCAAGGAAATCGACCTTGGCCGTCTACTCCCTGATCGTCCCCCTCTCCTGCCCCTGCAATGGCCCCCAGAGGGTCTCCCTGCTCTTCTTCCCGGCCACTCCCTGTGAAACCCGCCCTACCTTGCCCCGTACACCCCCTTCCCCTTCGGCCCCCTCCAGCTTCAGATGAGCCCCAACCCACCTTCTAGCCTCCTCCCTCAGGCTCCCGGCCCCCTCCTCCTCACACCTGTGGCTGTCCCCACCGACAGGGAGGCATCAAGCGCTCACACATCTCCAGTCCCTGGTCCCTCCCTCCCCTTCCAGAAGCCAGGAAGTGGCTGGAACCCCACGCTCTCCCTCCCCTAGAGAGAGGGTGGCACGTGGGTGGGGGGGGAGATGCTCGCTGAGACCATGAACTCGGGGCAGACCTAAGAGAACCCAGCGAGTCAGGAGCTGGAGACGCCATCCGACAGAGCTGTGACCCCGGAGCCGGCCTCGAGGAAGGAATCCGGAGAGAAAGCAGCCCGTGCCAGCGGCCACCAAAAAGGGATCCAAGGGCCACACTCCCACTCGCCCTTCTTTGTTCCTTTCTGTGCACACGGCTCTCCAGACACGGAGAGGGAGGGCGTGCCTAGTGTGACAGCCTGGGCGCCCACCTGGGGAGGCCCCCATCTCCTGTCTGTGCATCACCCTACTGTTCTAAGTTCCCAACCACACCTGACCAGCTGTGTGACCTTGAGCACGTGCCTGACTGCTCAGAACCGGAGGGTCCTGGCCTGCAAAACGGGAACAAGACCCCCCTGACTGGGCTTCAGTGAGGAGGAGGGAACCGCGTCAGTGCTCAATCGGCCTGGACTCCTCTGCATCTTCCGCTGACACACTAGGTGACCTTGGACAAGACCCTGTGTCCACATCTGTACAACGGGTGCGATGACAGCAATTCCCTCCCCATGTCAGCCCGCAGACAAGGCCGGCCCGAGACAAGCACTCATCAAATGTCAGGTGAGACGCCCCGACGTTGCTGCCACATTACTGCTGTCACCGGGGCACCTCAGCACTCGGCACACATTCCCAGGACAGATTCTACTTATAACCCTGACAGCGCTATTGACCCCCTAAGCCATGTCACCTGGGACAGGTGCCATCACTCCCTGAACCCTGGCTGTGAGCAGCACAGTGCTGCTGTTCGGGTTAAGCGAGGTCTTGGGTGAGAGCTGTCTGGTCCCAAGGAGGGCAGAACACGAGGCCCTACCAGAAGCTTCTGTATTCAGGATTGTGGCCTTCAGCCCTGTGACCTTGGGCGCATCTGGTGAACTCTGAGACTCCGTCTACTCATCTGTGACTTCTGAAATCTTCCAGCCTAGTCATTGGTTCCTGCTAGAATTCCTCTCTCTGGCCCATCACTGCCAGCTCCGTCTCTTTGTTTGCACACTCCCAGGGACAGGAGGCTCATTACCTTTTAGATTTACCCAGGCTACTTTTAGAGCGCACAGGGGGTTGGCCAGGATTTCAGACCCGCCCGAAATCCCCCTCCCTGGTACAAGCCAACTGAGCGCCAGACAGTTCGGAAATGGAACAGACTGAGGGCAAAAGAGGAGGCTCAGGCTGAGCAGTGGGAGTCACCTGATGGGGCACTGCCTCAGGACACGGCGTTCCTGGCACAGGCTGCCACCACTCTTGGGCTGAGGTGGGAGAGGAAGGTGGGGCAGTGGGGCCAGGCTGAGCTCGCCCTCGAGTCAAGGTCTGCCACCCAGCTGAGGCAGCCCTGCCCCCCCCCCCATGCTCCTGGGACCATCAGTGCCCCAGAGTGGCCCCACGTGGCCTGGGCACACAGGTGCGCCCAGTTCATCCTTTCCTGAACTCAGACACCTGCTGCAAGCCACGCTCCTGCCCCCGCCCCCACCCAAAACAGACAATAGAACTGGGGGTACGGAAGCCACTCCCAAGAGCTGGGTCAGTCAAAGGGTCCACATGGGAATAAAAGAAGCTTCCAGAAAGGAAGGACCCACCGCTGCAGAGATATTCCGCAACCCCCACCCTCCGTGGTCAGCAATCCCCAATGTGGGGGAATAAAAGACAAAGACCTGAATCCGACCGTCCTCACCAAGGCTAAATAAGACAATAAGTGTAAACGCACTTCGGGGAATAGCACGAGCTTGCTCGTGGCAACGGTGGTTTTTAAGCAGCGGCAAGGTGGTCAGAACAGAGGCCGCTTATTATTTTAAAGCTGAGTTTTACAATACGATTTGTCGAGACTCTGAAACATCCTACATGTACCTCTTTAAGCATGAGCTCTTGAAAATATTATCCTTAATGTACAGAAACTACTTGATTGGATACTGTATTGTAGGAAAAAAGGGGCTCTTCAATTGAGCAAAGAAAAGCCCACTCTGGGGAAAGGATGACGAATGATTGTCCCCGGTTACACTAATACCGGCGAACAGAGAGCGCACTCACTCGAAGATTTCACAAAAGGAACAAAGAGAGGAAGGAGGCTCCCTGTAAGGAGGGCACCCCGCGGCATCCACAGCCAGTCTGGGAGGGCTTGAGGGTGCGGATGGGAATTTAGCCCCTAAAGGGGGTCCAGGTGGCCCGAGAGGGGCCTCGCCACCGCAATGGGGCAAATCAGGCCGAAACCGCATCACCTGGGAAGGTACCAGGGGCAGCCGCGCCCCTCGGCTCAGCCCAGACCCACGCCCCCCACCCCCACCCCGGGGCAGGCCTGGGGCGGCCGCTGTGGAGCCAGGGACCTCTCTGGGACAAGACGCCCACGAAGCCTAAGAAGGGACCTTTCCCCGGCCGCATTCCCCGGTCAGGACGGAGCTGTCACCCAAGGAGGAAAGGGGGGCACGTCTCCCCATCCGGAATTCCGCGCGGGCACGTCGCCCTCCCGTGGGGGCTTCCTCCCGCCGCCCGGGCTCGCCCCCACTTCGCGTTGCCAGCGCACGCCGCGCGTCTCTTTTGTTGCGGCCGCGGCCCGAGACTTTGGGGTGCGCACCCGGCAGCGCGGGGGTGGCGTGGGAGGGGGCGCGCTCACCTTGTCCGGGGGCGGGAACTGCAGCTGATTGACATCGAGGGGCGTCATCAGGGGGATGGTGTCGAAGCCATCCTCCAGCAGCGGCTGCTTGGTGCCCTTCTCCGCGAAATTGTTCCCCAACTTCACCATCGTGCCGGGAGACCCGAGGCTAGCGCCTGCGAGGGAGGGCGGGGCGGGAGTCACCGCGAGCTCGCCAGCCCCCGGGGAGGGGCCGGGAGGACGCGGATGGGGCGGGAGCGGGCATGGGGGGTGGGGGTGGGGGTGGGGGTGGGGTCCCGGCCCCTCCCCCCGCAGGACCCGCGCGCAGGGGCGCCCCGCGGCCGGGGAGGGGGCGCGCCCCGTCCCGGAGCCGGAGCCCCGCGCGGAGCACCCCCTCCCCTCGGCTGTGCCCCTTCTACCCGGCGGGGAGCCGGGCGGCCGCGGACCCCGCCCCGGGGCGGAAGGCTCGGGCCCGCGGGCCGCACTCACCCACGCCGGCTCGCAGGTCTGGCTCCGAGCGCGCCGCGAGCCTCCGCGTCGGCCGCTCCCGCGCGCAGCAATGGCGGAGGCGGCGCCGCGCGGGGCCGGGCGGGGGAGCCGAGCGATTGGGCTCGCGGCCGCTCCCCCTCCCGCTCGCCGCCTCCCTTCCCGCCGCCCCCGGGGCCGCCCGTGCGCCGGCGAGTGCGCGTGTGGCGGCGGCGGCAACTCCGCCCTGACGCAGCGCGCGGGGCTGCACAAAGGAGCGCTCCCCGGGGACCCGCGGCCGGGCGGCGGGGGGCGGGGGAGCGCCCCGGGAACGCGGGCGGGGGCGCGCGGCGATGGGAGGGGCGCAGGGGGGCGATCCCCCAAAGTGTTGGGGGGGGCGTGTGCGGCGGCGAGGGCCGGGGAAAGGGGGCGTCCCCGCGGCGAGGCGGCGCGGGTGGGAACGGAGGGGGAGACTCCGGGCTGTGCGGGGGGCGCCCTCCGGAGCCGGGGACGCCGCCCGCGCTGGGAGGAAGCCCGGCGTAGCTGGAGGGCTCGGTATTCGGGGCAGGGAGAGCGCTTTGCGCGCCGCGTCGGAGGGAGACGGAGAGGTTTCTCGGGTCTGCTGGGAGGAGAAGGCGGGGGTCCCCTCACTGCAGCCGCAGCCGGGAGCGTCCGGGTCGCGGAGGACGGACGGCGGGAGTGAAGGGGCGCGGGGCTCCGCCGCTGTCGCAGCTGCCCGGACTAGGGCGTCATTTTGCAGACTTGGAGCCAGCCTGGCTGCGGGACTCCCCGGACGAGCGGCGGCGCGCGGTGCGGCAGCGGGGCCAGGAGCGGGAGGCGGGCGGCTGCGGGGAGTCGGCCCCGTGCGGGCACCTGTCTGCCTGGGGCCCAGCGTCGGTGTCCCCGGAGCCCTACTGTCACACCCCAGGGGCACGGCTGAAGGCCTTTTGCATCAGCCGACGGAGAACCACTGCAAGCTGCGTCCCCTCCCCCAGAACCGCAGGGAAGGCACTGAGAGGGGAAGAGCCCAGGCTAGGCACCCGACTTCCAAATCCCCAGGAGGCCCCACCCCCTTTTACACCGGAGGTAATTAGGTTCGTACCCTTGCCCCAGGTCCCCAGCAGGGTCCAAGTGGGTCTTTGACCACAGCGCAGACACGACATGCAGCCAGTCTGGGAAAGGCACGTGTCGCAGGCCTGGCCACCAGCCTCCTGCTGGCAAAGGCCTTGAACCCACCGGTCGGATGCGGTGATACTGCCTTTCTGTGTGGGTTCCGGGTTTCTCACGTGGCACCCCAGGAGCCCCCCCCCCCCCCCCAGGCCGCTTGGACACTCCCTGCAGCAGGTGAAGGGTAGTTAGAATCCGCTCAGGTGCCAGCCTGGGTCAGTCCCTGGCCTGATAAGTTCACGGTGGGGAGACACCACGTGTGCCTCAGGGAGGGCGTGGCTGTGTCCCCAGCCCAGGTGCCAGCACTTTACAGATGCCAGCACAGGCCACACACACACACTGTGGTTGGGACCCCACACAGGAAGGACCCCGTGTGTGCCCCTCCTTCCCCCGAAGGCTCTGCCAGCAGGGACATGAAGGACCCACCGTTCTACAGAGACGGCAGCGGACAGCCCACGCTGCTCACTCCCTTTCCTGTGCTGCACTGGGTGTTCGCTGGTCCCGGTCACTGGGACTTTGCAGTTTCAGGGGGTGGGGGTGGGGGTCCAAACTGCGCGTGGCCCCGTGGCGGACTCGGGGGATCCAGGTGCACAAACCACAGCCCCCTCACCAGAAGCTGACGGATGGCGGGAATGAAGTGGCAAGTCCTTAGGTGGGGGGCGCGGGAGACTCTGGATAAAAGTATGAAATCACCTGGGAGCCATAGAGCTCTTTTTTTTTTTTTTAATGTTTTTTGTTTATTTCTGAAAGAGAGAAAGAGAGCGTGAGCAGGGGAGGGTCAGAGAGAGGGAGATAGAGAATCTGAAGCAGCTCCAGGCTCCGAGCTGTCAGCACAGAGCCCAATGCGGGGCTCGAACCCACGAACCTTGAGATCATGACCTGAGCCAAAGTTGGACGCTTAACGGACTGAGCTGCCCAGGTGCCCCCACAGAGTGCTCTTGCACAGGGAGGAAAGGAATGTGCCAGAAGATGTGTATCCTGCCTTAACAGATTACCACGAACCGGAGGCTTAAAACAACAGAAATGTAGGGTCTCACCGTGCAGGGGGCCAGAAGTCCAAAGGCCAAGTGTCAGCGGACGGCACTCCCTGCAGGGGTGCCGGGGGGCAGAGGTGGGGGGCTGCCTGGGAGAATGTTCCTGCCTCCAGCTTCCAGGCCCCAGGCCTTCCTCAACTTGTGCCGCGTCACTCCGGTGTCTGGTGCGTGGTCACTCTGCCTCCTCCTCTTCCCCGTGTGTCTCCTATGAAGTCCCTGTCATTGGATTTCGGGCCCAGTCAGTGACGCCGGAGAAGGTTGTCGTCTCCCAGTCCCTCACTGCGCTACCGGAGGACTCGTTCACAGATCCTGGGGACCCCGCACGATGTCCTTGGTGGCCGCCGTGGGTTCACCTTGGCCTCCGGGAGGGGCAGGGTCTCCGCAAGAGATTAGCTTGAAAGGCCAGAGTCACAGAAGGGGGGACAGCTGACCCCTGACGGTGCTTGTGCGCAGGTGCAAGGTGTTTTAAAGCGTACACACGGCGAAATCAACGGGACTTGGTCTCCTCCCTAGACCCCCTTGCCAGGTGTTTGGCCAGTATTTGGTTTTTCTGAGTGACTGTAGGATACCTTAGGGCTGCCCCAGGAAACAGACCCGCCACGGGTTGGATGATGGCAGCAAGCCCTGCCCCATCTGCCCCCCAGTTGGGCAGGGCAGCCAGCTGTGCCCCCCCCCACTTCCAAGTTCAAGTCTCACAGTGCTGCCCCTGCCCATGGCTTTACGTCTAGACTGTACATCAAGAGGTGGGGGGCAGGGTGACAGTTTGATTCCCAGTCTTTCCCACTTCCGTGCTGTGTGACTTGGGGCAAGCTGCGTACCTCCTCTATGCCTCAGTTTCCCCATCCATGAGGCGGAGATGATAGTAATAATACCTTCATCACAGCGATGCTGTAAGAATCCCAGGAGCATAAAAACAGCACCTGCTTCGGCTATCGTTACGGCTTTGAGCGCTACTGGCTGCTCAGCACCCCATGGTCTCTGTCCTTGGTAGCTTATGTGCAGCCAGGCTGAGGTGCTAGACGCTTGTCGTGGGCACGGGATCGGTGCTCCGAGTGACTGAGGAGTCACACACACCCCCCGCCCCCACAGTCCTGGTGAGCCTCTGTAGCTCAGGGAAGGAAGCGCCTGGTCCCAGGCCATGAAGCGCAGGGCAGAGCAGAGCAGCCAATTCCTGAGATCCTTTGTCCACATGTGTTTTTCTCTAATTGCGAAGTAATTCACATTCCACACGTTTCACCGTTGTAAAAGGACCCACTTCGTTTGGGTTTTTAGTATGTTCACCAGGTTGTGCAAGCATCACCACTAATTCCAGAACACCTGTATCACCCCAGAAAGAAATCCTGTCCCCATTACCAGTCGATCCCCATTCTCCCCTCCCCCCAGCCTCCCCAGCAACTACTAATCTACTTTCTTTAATCTACTATCAGTACCTAGACACTATATTTTTTAAAAAACTTTCCCAGGTTTACAGAGATATAACTGTGTCAGTTTAAGGTGTACAACCTGATGATGCCATATGTGTGTAGACTGTGAAGTTATTTCTACAATAAGTTAACATGTCTATCATCTTACATTGTTTTTTTGGGTTTTTGGATTTTTTGTTGTTTTTTGGTGGTGGGAAACATAAGACCTACCATATTGTTTTTATGGACTTGCCTATTCTGTACACATCCTCCTTTCTGATAGGTTTTAAGTTTCTCTGTCCCAGCTCCTTAATTCTGAGTGGGACAGTACACGGAGATGGGCGAGGGGGAGACATGGGGCTTCTGGATGTTTCTGCAGATGGGGAGAGTCAGCCCACCTGGGCATTCCTCCCTGTCTCTCCTTGAACCCAATACTCCAGCCAGACCGCCCTCCCCATTCCCAAAGCACCTGCCTCCAGGCCGGGGCAAATGCTGTTTCCTCAGTGTGGAATGTGTCCCCCATCTCCTGTCCATTTGGCAAACTCCTACTCATCCTCCAAAGCCCGGATCTGATGTTACCTCCTCTTCAAGTCTTACTTGGTGCTTCTTTATGCTGCTTTCCTGCTCGGTTTGGGTATTTATACCTTTTTCTGGATTGTGAGCAAATCCTGGCAGAACAACTTAATCATTCATTTCTACACCCACTGAGACTAGAACAGAGCCTGGAGTACAGCAAGTACTCCGAGACCGTATGTTAAATTGAATGGGCATCCACTCATTTTACATTCACAGCAGATTCAGACATTTAAATGTCAGATGTATAAGGCTAAGTTCAAGTGTGTAGTAAGAAAATTCGTGGTCTAATCCAAGCCAAAGGCAGGTCTGTCCATGACATCACACTGATGACTTTCTCCCTCCTGGATTCAACCTTGCTGCAAACACCCATTTCTGGAAAACTCCCTTATTTAAAAATACATAAGCTATAGACAAAGCCATAAATCCACTTCCTCGTGGCCCTTAGTGTTCCACCGTTGTATTCCAACCCCAGCATTTAACACATACTAAGTACTCAGTAAGTGGTTAACGAATGAATGAACCAAATTTTTGTTTCTTTGTCTTTGGAGAAACTGAGTAAATAGTATGGGGCTCACAGTCATCTGGTGACTCAGTATGTTATTCAAAAAGTACTGTGTGTGTGTGTGTGTGTTTTGAATTTGGGGAATTTTTTAGTTTTATTTGTAGCTTGATCTATATAGTCTTAACGAACCATACAGTGACTGCCCCTGGCCTGGCCACCCCTTGTAAAACAATCCCCTTGACATAAAGCCCCCTCAGGGGATCCCTTTTACCACCATCAGTGACCCCTGGTACCTTGACAGATACAGACGGGAAGGGAGAACCCTCTCTCTCTGCCTGGATCCTCCCGGAGCCTCCTCCAGGGTGAAGAGCAAGACAGCGATGCCCCGGCAAGATTTGCTCCACCATTTTCTCGTTTTTCTTCTTAGCTTCCCAGCAAGTGTGCAGTGGAGGGGGCAGCTGTACCCATTTTACAGCTGGAGGAACCATCAAGACTTTTGGCAATGACC